TGGCGGCCACGCGGGGGTGAGCGGCTGCGGGCGGCCGGGGCCCCTCCGGAGCCCCCGGGCGAGGGCGAAGCGGGGAGGGCGCTGGCAGCCGGGAAGGGGCAGGTCCCTGCTGCCCGTTTCCCCACCTCTTCTCCCGCTTTATGGCTGTGAAATCTTTCGATTCTCGCAAAACGCCGGTGTTGTGCGCGGGGGCCGGTGGGTTACACGGGTAACCTCCTCTGTGTTCCAGGGCAAACGTGACCGTCACCGACCTCGAGGAGCTGCAGGAGCTGCTGATGGTCAATATAGAGAACAACAAACACCTGGTGACGGGGTCAGTCCGAGCCAAGGTACTGAAATGGTTTGTATGCTCCTTTACTGCTCCTGTTCGGCTTTAACGCGGCTTCTGCTCTCGCTTGCTTGAATTGCCACAGGTCCTTGACAGCGCTGCTGCGACGGGGAAGCTCGATGCCAGAGCGTAGGAGTTACCTTTATGCTCAGTCCTTTACTGCTGCGTCTTGTGTAAAACCGACGTTTGTTTTTGCTGGATCTGAAGCTTGGTTTCACCTCTTTTTTTGCTTCTTTTTAGGGGTGAAGATGTAACAGAATTTCAGCCTCCCCCCGATTACATACTAATGGCTGATTGCATTTACTATGAGGAGGTAAATGAGGACTTTGCAAAACCCCTATAGAAAGCTTCCTCGGGAAGGGTGTGGGTTCAGGGTGAGCAGTGTTCAAATAAATATTGTGCTTGCACCTTGGTCCCCGTAGTTTAGAGGAATATGTAGAACAGGACTGGAAGAGGCATTTTTAACAGATTCAAGGCTATTTGAGATTCAACCAGAGACTTTTTTAATGTTTAAAAAAACCCAAACTTTATATTTGTGCTTCCCCTCCCCTTTTTTTTTTTTTTTTTTTTTTTTTTACATTGGGAAGGAGGTGTGAAGCAAAACATTGTGACTGATAGCTGTGAACTGTTTAATGCATTGGTAAATGAAATTTAATAGTGCCACATCTGCACCGTTTGGGTTCTCCTCACGCTTCCCTTGGGAAGGCAAAAGGAGAAATCATGCTCCAGCGAAGTAGTGGTTGTAGTCTGCCCCATCTCTTGAGCTCTGTAGGATGTGCACAGAGAGCTAACAGAAGTTGCAAGAACAGGGAGATGACCTGACGAACGCCACGTCCCGCTGCCCTTTCGGCGGTCTTACCAGCCCCTTGCATTGGCTCCCTGCACGTTGGTCCTGTTTCCATACGTAGTGGTCTGGATCTGAGCCGTGTTCCAAGAATGGTTGAGAAAACTCTCACTTTTGAAACGTGACAAGAAATAGTCGTTGTTGTGTGCCTCAAGGAAATGCCTGCTCAGCAGCGTGGGATGGTTTGGCTTTGGTGCTAGTTCAGTTTTCTTGGTCAGTCTGTGAAACTCTTCTCCTCAGCAGTCTCCCTTTCTCCTCTGCTTTCCAGCTTGCCCCCATGTTCTTTTTGTCCCAGTTAAAGTACTAAAAATAACTCCCTGAAAAGCAAAACTGGAAAGTTCTCTCTTGGGTGAAGACTTTGTCGAGTTAGAGGGTATTGTACCAGTGAAATGAACTTGAAATCTAAGTGGGAAATACTTAACCTCTTTTGGGCAGTCATTAGAACCGCTGCTGAAGACACTGAAAGACCTTACTGGCCCCGATACGTGCGTCTTGTGCTGTTACGAACAGAGGACTATGGGAAAGAATCCTGAAATTGAGAGAAAATACTTTGAGGTAAGTGTTTTTAACGTGTGCTTTTTGAACTCTAGGAAAGTAGCTTGGATACAGGAGGTGTTTGTATTGCATCGGCTGAACATCAACAGCAGTTGCCACATGTACAAATTCAGGTGACCGCACAAAGTAGAGTTTGTAGCAGGAGAAGCACCTTTGTCTTTAGATGGGGCAGAAAATTTGGATGGTGACTCTTGAAGTTATTGTCCAGCCTGGTAGTAGAGACTTTCTGGATACTTACGGAGCTTGCTTTCCCTCAAAAGGTCAAACTAACCTTTCGTGCCTTACTAATCTTAGCTGTATTGATGCTTTTAATCCGCGCAGCCAGACTTGCATAGGTTGTTAAAAGCTCCTCTGGCTTGTGTTACCTTCCAGATTTGCAAAAGGGCCACCGTAAGCGAGGCAATACCTGTCAAAATCAAAACAATCCTTTTTGTATGAGCAAGTCAATTAGCAGTCGGTTGCTGCCTTCTTTCTGCAGCGGTTATCTCGATGTTACCAGAGGTTAGTGGGAGGACTAAAAATTAGTCTGGTGAAAATCTGTTTTCTTTGAGCGTGTTCCATTGAAAGCAGAGGGACAATACAGGTAAAGTTTTCCAGAGTGGCTCGGGAACTCAAGACTCTGCTAAGTGATACAGCTGCTTTTGCAAAAACTTCCCCCCTCTACTGACAGAGCATTAATAGGTGATGTAATTAGATAGCCCAGCTGCGTCTTCTGTGCAGGTAAAGAAAAGGAAGACGGGTAGCAGCAGAATCCCTCCCAAGGCTGCGGGGACGACGGTCAGTGCAGGATTTAACTCTGCACCTGCGAAGGCTGCTGAAAAGCAGCCCTTGCGCAGGAGTACGGGATCATACGTAATAACAATACTACAAAAAAGGGGCAGGGCAAGAATTCCAGGGCGATTCGTACGTGTTAATAAAAGCACCTCTTTGATAATTAGCCATGCCTTGAACTCTTGTGGGGACCTGGCTGTGAGGAGGGCTGCTATAATTATGATCAGCTCTGATGAGGTGCCACTCCCACAATAAATACAATAGGCGTAGGTGTTTCTGGAGGATTTCTGCTTTCTTGTAATTTATTTCCTTCCTTAGCTTGCCAAGGTTCTGCCAAGTTAATCTTCTGAGCACGTTGCAGAGGCGATGCTGGGGGTTTTTTTCGCCTTTTTTCCCCCTCCAGTTGAGAAGGTTGGCAGACAGAGGCAGGTGCTGTGGTTTGGCTTAGCGCTTCGGAGATTGGAGGAAGCAAAACGTTGTCTCACAAGCTTTTAGGTTTTTCTTAAATGTTGTAAGATGTCTGTAGCTTCGAATTGGCAGAGGAGCAGTTAAATCAAGGGTGAATGTGCTGCACGGGGGGGCGAATAGCTTGCATGTTTGTAGAGGCCTTTGCTGGAATGGTCTGAGCGTGGCGATTGCAGCCTCCCGAGGCTTCTTGCCCTCCTGTGGGTATATGGTGGGACCTTTTCTCTGCTTGGTTCAGAAGGGCAGTCGGTGTCACTTGAACTGTTTTGTGTGTTCTCTGATAACCAGCTGCTTCAGGTGGACTTTGAGCTGGAAAAAATTCCCCTGGATAAGCACGATGAGGAGTATCGCAGCGAAGACATTCATATCGTGAACATCCACAGGAAACAAACGGTAGGTTAATTGAACTGGCGCGGCGAACGCTGCCAGGAATTCGCAGCGCTGCTGTTTACTTGGCCTAGTGTGAGCGTTCCAGGGGTGAAGCTCCAGACTGGCTGTGAAATACCGTTAGGGACCCTGCGAAGCTGCAGAGCAGAACCGTCCCGGTACAAAGGAGCGCCTTTGTTCCCAAAGCCAGCGCTCTGCCAGGTGCCAGCCTTTGTCTTCAGCAGGACCGTCCTCGAGCTGCACGCTGACTTGCTCTTCTGCTTCCGCACTGTAGTGCAGTGGGATCTCAAAACTGGAGTTTTGAGGCACCAAAGTAATAAAACCGATATGCCCACTGCTGCTGTAGCACGGTGTGCTCTGCTGGGCAGCCCTCTCCCCAAACCCACTCTCTAGAGGGGGTGCTTAGCGCCTGTCAGGGTTGGCTGGATCTTTTTTTGGTGAATTGATGGAGCAGAAAGTTATGCATGAAGAAAATATTTTGCATATTGTGCTGACACAACATGCGGGTCCGGTGCTTAAACAAAAACGAGCCGCTTAAAAAATCCGTACCTTTTTTTTTTTTAAATCTCTTTACAGACTTTTCCATCGTGAGATCTTTGACCACAGTATCTGTCCTCTGGCAGCCCATAGAGCTCTGGAGAAGAAGGAGAGAGTATAGAATAACCCCACAAAGGGACTGTCTCCAGTGTGGTTTGTGACTCATCTACAGAATGGCTTCTCGATGGTGGACTTGGCGTGAGGCACCAGAAGAAGTGGGCTCGCTAGACCGGATCCACGGACAGCGCCTTCCAGGCGGGCTGCTGGGAGCTGTCGGTGTCTGCGGGCTGAGGCAGAGGAGGGCAGAAAACGGCGGCAGAGTTTCCCCCAGAGCAGCGCTGGGCGCCTGTTCTGGGTTCCGCTGCTGGGCAGCCGCTCCTGGGAGCAGCGGGCGGCTCGCCGAGGGCTCACAGAGCGGCTCCGGGGGCACCGCGCCGAAGGCTCTGTGAGGTGAAAACTCTGCGAGTGGGCTCACACGGCCCCACATAGCCGGTGAATAAAACTTCTGCATTTGAGGTGGGCCTCGCATGGTGAGGGTTTGGGTTTTTTTTTCCCAGCCTGTGGTTTCTGTCTCACTCCTGCGTCGCGGAGGTCCTGGGCGTCTCCTTCCCGGCGCAGGGCGTCCTGGCGGTGGGTGCTGTACAGATACAGCACGCACACGGTCCCTGCGGCTGCGCGAAATTGTTCTTTTATTTCCACCTGCGCTTTTCCGGTATAAGGATCTGCGGCGTTAGTTTGTCACCTTCAGTTGATTCTGGTGAGCCGGTCTGTTGTTGCTGCTGATATTCCTCACCAAGCTGCCTCCTGTTGTCGAGCAGCGATGGCTTTGAGATGCAATTTCAAAGGAAATCTCACCTCTGCTCTGTAGTGGAAGCGGCTGTGGGTGCCTGCGTCATCCCGCAGCCCCGACTGCACTGCGTGCTTTGAAAGTAGGTCTGCTGCCGGAGAGGCGCTGCTCTGCGTGAATTACGACAGCCCGCTCCCCGAGCCGCTCCCGTTCAACGCAGGAGTGGGCCCTGCTTCCGGA